ACCTAGCCTGGGAGACTCAAGTCAGCTGCCCACCCATTCTGTGGCCCTGGGCTGTGAAAAGAGGCAGTTTTAGGCAGGGTAAGATGCCAATGGTGTCATGAAGTATCTTAGGGAATAGTGAGGGCAACCTTAGAGGATACTGAGAATACTTGCACTGGGGCTCATGGGAGGCATAATAGCTCCCAGGACAGTAGTGCCATCAGGTGACTTGCAACTAGGCAGTTGGCTGGCACAGCAGGTAGCTGTGACTGTAGCAGTCCCCTAAGCCACAGGGTCACTGAATGTGTGAGAAGAACAAGAATTTGAAGATCATTTAGCCAAGGATTTCAGTATGTCGATAGGGCAATGGAAGCTCCGAAAGGTATAGCAACTTGCTCAAGGTAACACAGAGAAAAAATGTATCATTATGGTGAGACAGTGAAGTGAGGACACTGTGACTAACACTGACAGATGAAACCTGTCTTCCCCTGGACCTGAGAGGTTCTAGAAACCAAGACTCTGTGCAAATGGGTCATCACAGCAAAGCGCCTGAGGAGGTTCATGGCAGCCAGTTCCCAATCAGTAGCAGTGGTGTGCCTCTGAGGATATAATGTGCAAGGCTGTCTTGGTGCGTGAATCAGCCTCTGGTGGGTGGTGAACACGGGGCTCTGGGACTGACGCTCTCTCTCTTTCTCTCCGTCTGTCTCTCTGTCTCCGTCTCTCTCTCTCTCTCTCTCCTTTCTCTCTCTCTCTCTCTCTCTTCCTCCCCCCGCCCTGTGTTCTTCTGTGTGTTCTAGAAGTGAGGTCCTTTTGTCACCAAGCCCTGCTCTATTAAATCCCATTATGACCACTTGGGTTTCAACGGCTGTTTTCCAAGTCACGGCCCCTTGCAAACCCACTGGATTGGTTGGAGGGTGCTATCATTGCAGCCAAGGATCCTCCCTCCAAGACCAAGGGAAGGAGGGAGTAAGGTGGCCTCAAATCTTGCCCCCCTGGGCCTGAGCCTCTTAAGCTGCAGTGGCAGTTTCATCCATGTCTGTGTCGCACAGAGTCTCACATCCCTTGCTCTTCCTACATTCAGGCAGCCCAGATTCATTTCTGGACTGGAGAAAAGGCCTCAGCACCTCCAGGAAGACAGCTCTGAGTCCAGACATTGAAAACAACTGGCTCCTGCTGGGAGGGAGGCTCTGGGCTCCAAGTTGGAGGAAATAAAAGGGATACTTCTCACCCTTATCCCAGGTCAGAGAGTCTAGGCACAGCAAAGCTTTAGTGGACACATGCTCATTGATGCATTTTCTTCAATAAAGATTTATTGGTGCCATGCTGTTCGTAAAGCCCTGTGTCCAGGTACTGGCTGTTCCAGGACTAATGAGGTAGAGCTCCTGCTCCAGAGATGAGAGTCTGGGTGAGGACAGTCATGCAAATTAACCTGCCAGAGGTGGCAGTCTAGCATGAAAAATGCTACGATAGAGAAGAGTACACAGTGTGTTTGTGTGTTAGTCAAATATTTCATCATACAGATAGGGAAAGGTATAACAGCTCAGAAAGGTATAACAAATTCGTCAAAGTAACACAGAGAGAAAATGGATCACTGTGGTGAGACAGTCAAGTGAGGACACTGTGATTGGGACTGGCATAGTGGAGGGGAGAAACATTACCAAGGGAAGAAGGAGGTGCTCTTTTTTTTTTTTGAGGGTAGGAACATCAGAGATCAAAAGGACAACTGAAAGGCTGAGTAAGGAAATGGTGGTTCCAGAGGAGAGCCATAAGTGCAAAGGCCCTGAGGCAGGGTGGAATCAAAAGTTATTTTGGGGGTTACTGAAGGCAAATTTTAGCCATGATGTGGAGAAAGATGAGGCTGTAGGAGAGGAGCAGAGTTGAGATGTCCAGATGGAAAGTCTGAGGGATGAGAGACAATGTCCTGCATAGAAAGAGGCTCTTACAGAATCATCTCATTTGGATCCAGGTGGCATAGCAGGAAGTCTCCATTGCTGGTCCAGGATGAGTCCTGGGCTCCCATCCCTGTGTAGTTTTCTACAGTGCATACACTGGACCTTCTAAACACACCAACTCTAGGGCATAATGGTGAGGTCAGAGTGATGCCCACCCAAGCTGTTCCCTAGAAGCCAGTGACCGGCTACCATCCTCTGTGGCCGGGGGAAGCTGGCCAACAGTGCGTAATGAGGACATTGATATGGGTTCATCTAGAATAAAACCAGGATGACATAAAGAAGGGCTGGGTTTCTAGTGGGTGGGGGAGGGAAATGAGTACAAAGAGGCAGAATTGTGGGGATAAGATATTGGAATTAGGCATCGGTGAGAGGGGAAGGCAGAGAATGAGAGAAAGTGAGGACAGGGGTAGGAAGGGAGTGACAGAGGGAGGGAGGGATGGGCCAGGGAGGCAGAGAGGAATCTAGGGAGGGAGGTAGAAGAACATTTGGTCCTTTGCATAAGGGATATGGCCGATGAGCTGCAGTCTGCTGGGGCTGCCTCTCTCACACCAGAATTTTTGGAAAAGTATCCACTCTGATGTGCTTCTCTTCCTGGAGAACAGATGCCTTTGTCCTACTTGCTAGGAAGATAATTTTCCCGCACAGTGTTTGGATTTTTGTTTTTGCTTTTTGGCACTGGAATGACCCGGAGGCGCTGGGGAGCTTCCAAGAGGAGGATGCAGGGTCCATCACTACTCATGGCTGCCACATACTGAGGGCCTCATACGTATCAGACACTCTGTCATGTGAATTACGTAAGCTGACACTTATCTTTCCAACAGTCC